CAGCCTTGGAGACCCTGTGGGCAGTTCCACTCTGTCCTCTAGGGGCGCTGTGGGTCAGAATGGACTCCACGGCAGTGGGTGTGGTTTGGGCTTTGCTTCCGTGAAGACTGACAGCCTTGGAGACCCTGTGGGCAGTTCCACTCTGTCCTCTAGGGGCGCGACTCCACGGTTGTGGGTTTAGTTTGGGCTTTGCTTCTGTAAAGATTGACAGCCTTGGAGACCCTGTGGAGCGCTGTGAGTCCACCGCAGAGGTTTGCTTTACCATAGTTGTTACCACTCTAGAGACTAGTGCATAGGTGTGCAGCTTAGGAACAAGGTCTCAGACATGGGTTGTCTCAACTAGTGGTGATGGTGTAGGCCATGGGGTGACTGGCTGAAATCACCCAGGAAAAAGGAGTTTAGAAATAAGAGGCGCGTGGCAGTAATGAAGGTGATAGTAACCACGGTGGTCCTGCTGGCGTGGAGGTGGAGCCAACAAAGGAGAATGTGAAAGGACCAGTCATGGGGGGAGAGAAGGGTTGCGTGGAAGTCAGAGGAGACTTCAGGGGCGTTAGATGTAGCACATGCAGTGTTCATTCCAGCTAGAAGTGCTCCCAAGCCGTGGGGATGGGGGGGTTGCCAGTCCTTGAGGCATGTGAAGGTTGAAGAAGCCCGGCAGGGGTCATAGCATGTATGTCAGCGGACTTAGGGACGGGGACGCCTTTTGTTTTGCTCTCTCCCGACAGGGCCTCCAGACGGTCATCCAGAGAGACTTCTTCCCTGATGTGGAAAAGCTTCAGGCCCAGAAGGAGTACCTCGAGGCCGAGGAGAACGGAGACCTGGAGCGCATGCGTCAGATTGCCATCAAGTTTGGCTCGGCCCTGGGCAAGATGTCGCGAGAGCCCCCACCCCCCTGTAAGAGGCCTCTGCGGGTGACCGAGGGGGAAGCCTGCTGAACTGTGCGTCAGGCTGCCTCTAATCTCCATCCCCTCTCATCTCCCAGACGTGACTCCAGCTACGTTTGAAACTCCCGAGGTCCACACAGGCCCTGGCGTGGGGGGCAACAAGCCCCAGCCCCGGGGCCGAGGACCGGAGGATGGTGAGTGGGCTCCCCTGTGCAGTCCCACAGTTGGGATTCTCATCCCGTGAGGCCCTGAAGCGGTCCAGGAGTGCTGCAGAGTCCAGCTTGGCTCTGAGGGGTCGCCTTGCCTGCATGGCACCGTGTAGGGTCAAAGGAGGAGCTCTGGTGGCATGGTGCCTAAGGCACTTGACTGCTAACCAGAAGGCTGGCGGTTCAAACCCACCAGCCACTCCTCAGAAGGAAGATTGGGCAATCTACTTCCGTAGACGTATTGCCTCGGAAACCCAAGGAGGGGTCGCTATGAGTCAGGATTGAGTCAATGGCAGTGAGTTTGCTTTTTTTTTTTTCATTTAGGGTCAAAGAGGACTGGTTCAAGGGCAGACAGACCTGAGCCCAGCTCCCAGACTTGGGCCAGTTAGTTCTCTGAGCTTCTGGCCATCCTCTGTCAAAAAAAAAAAAAAACACTTCACTGCCATTGGGTCCATGCCAACTTCGCTTTGGGTTTCCGAGGTGGTCAATCTTTACTGACATGGACTGCCCCATCTTCCTTCTATGGAATGGCTGGTGGCTTTAAATTTCCAGCGTTCTGGTTAGCCGTTAGGTGCCTTAGGCACCATGCCACCAGAGCTCCCTCTATAGCGGCTGTCCTCTGTAGAGCGAGTATAATGCCACTCCGTCACCAGACTGTGTGCCAGCCTCTGCCCAGGGGCTTCACGGCCCTCTGCTCCTTTCGGGCTGTTTCCTGGCGATTACGCAGAGCCTCTGCGTTAAGCGCTCCGGATAACTGGACAGCCTGTTCTTTCTGTTCCTTCAGGCCTTGGTCAAATTACCCTTTCAGGGAGACCTTTCCTGACTGCCCAATGGAAAGTATCAACACCCCTGGCCCTTGGTACCTTCCTGCCTGGCTTAATTTTTCACGGTAGCACATACCATCTACAAAACACCTTTGTATGTTAATTAAGTCTCTTCTTAACAAGCATTCTTTCCACGAGAATGGGGTCTTGATTCCTCCTGTATCCGCCGTGTCTAGAACAGTGTGTGGTGTGTTGTAGGCGTCTGACAGATAATGCATAAAACAAGTGACCACATTGTCTTTTGCAGTGTATTTACTGGGGTGTAAGGCATACAATAAGGAGCTCTCGTGGTATAGTGGATAAGGCATCTGGCTGCTAACCAGACTGTCAGCGGTTGAAACCCACCAGCTGCTCCACAGAAAGGAAGATAGGGCGATCTGCTTCCCTAAAGATTTACAGCCTCGGAAACCCAGTGGGAATCGCTGTGAGTTGGATTCGACTCAGTGGCAGTGAGTTTGGTTTCTGGTTTGGAAGGTGCACAGTGGGCAGGTCAGCCCTGTCCAGACACTGGCGTATATGAGGTTCCTGCTCTCAGGGCTTGTGGCTGGGCAGGGAGACTTGTGTGAATAGGGAGCTCTGCTGAGGCAGTGGTTAAAGCATTCAGCTGCCAGCCTGAAGGACGGCAGTTTGAACCCACCAGCTGTTCCGCGGGAGAAGAATGAAGCCATCTGCTCTGTAAAGTTTGACTCTCAGAAACCCTCTGGGGCAGTTCCACTCTGTCCTCTAGGAGCACTGTTGAGTCTCAGTGGACTCAAATGCAGTGGGTGTGGTTTGGGCTTTGCTTCTGTGAAGACTGACAGCCTTGGAGACCCTGTGGGCAGTTCCACTCTGTCCTCTAGGGGCGCTGTGAG